ATACCACTCCGCCCTTGCTGGGATTCGATCCCAGGTCCTCTGGTTCCCAAGCGGTGCTCTTGACCACTCCGCTATTTGGGTCCCCAATGTGTTTTAGGCTTTTTCCTTACTTAAACTTTGGTTTTTTTTCAGTATATTGGAATTTAAAAAGGTGTCTCTTCCAGGATTCGAACTCAGCATCACTTACTTTGAAGCACAACACTTTCTCACTGAGCCACAAACCTCTCTGAAGAACACTACTTTTTTTTTAAACTTAACCATTAGATTTACATTTGCAACTGGAAATTGAAATTTAAAAAGGTGTCTCTCCGGGATTCGAACCCAACACCCCACTCTTTCGAGCACGGCAGCTCCACACTGAGCCACACACATCTCTGCAATACATCTGAGTTTTTTTATATTTAACCCTTAGTTCGGAATTTACAAAGTGAAAGAGAAAAAGGTGACGGTCTGGGATTCGAACCCAACTTCTTGCATGTACACGCACAGCGCTTACCCACTCCGCCACAGCTCCCTCTGAATGAATGCTGTGTTTTTTAAATATACTTAACCTTGAGGTTCAGACTTATAAAACTGGATTAAAAGGAGATTGGCCGGGATTCGAACCCACGATCTTAAACTCAGCAGGACAGGATTTCCACATTGCGCCACAAACAGCTCTGAAAAGGTAACCCACTGAGAAAAATGAGGAAGATTTTAAGTTTGTCGTCAAACCTTGCATACATACAAACACTACAATTCTACTGTCTTTACAAAAACATTTTTTTAAGTGCGTGGTTTGAAAACGTTAAATGATTGTACTGATTGTAAAAGTATTACATGTACATACATGTACATTACAGTTGCATGGATTTCTTTACATAAAATGTTTATTTACAAAACATTTGTTTTCTCCTTACTTTTTACGTCTCAAAATTAAATTTGTAAATCACACATTAAAGTATCAAAAGAAACATCCAAAATCATTAACTACAACGTGGGATTTCACTCCAAAATAAAGCTTCAGCCTACGGAATATTCCAAAGTATAAAATAATTCTAAGAATTCATGAAGATACAAAAGCAGAGTTTACCATCTGATGTAAAAAATAAGATGGAAGTCACGAATATATACATGTATACTCAGTGCGACAAGCCAATAGAAACAGTATTCGTGGGCGGGGGTCCTTGTCCCCGAAAAAAAAAAATGAAAAAAAAAATGGGCCGTGAAACAAAGGGGAAAATTACGGGAGTAATAAAAAAAGAGGAAAGAGGTTAACATCCCAACTTTGCTTGAAAATACATTGGAATTGATCACCTTTCGCCTTTAATATAATACATTTAAACGGCAGGGGAACAATTTCGACCAACGTCGCTTCAACGGTGGATTGTTTGGACCACAGAAATCGACCACTTGGCCCTGGAAATGGTTGCGCCGTTTATTAGTACCGCTCAGTCGACTTCTTTTATCACTACTAGAGGGAATCATTAAAATGAAAATAATCGTATACGAAATGTCGCCAACGACCGCTGCGAAAGTTCAGCAAAAACGGCAAAATATGAATGACGATGAAATTTTTACAAATGCTTGTAGTTCAATTTCAACTAAGGACGTTTGGGAGTAACTGTATTGCACGTTCACGTGCTCTGATTTGATGCAATGCGGGCGATTCACAAGAGTACGTCTCAAACAGTTTGCAACGCGTTGGCCAATCACAGTGCGCGAAACCTGTCAACACTTTCCGAACGCGCATTTGCATAGGTCGACAGATGTCCCGTACTGTGATTGGTCAACGCTTTATACACTCTTGAATTGGAGGTGCACTTTTGTGAATCGCCCGTAATACATGGGTGCAAATGGCTGTATTTCTGCCCGCGAGCTCATTAATATTTTGTGATCCCACGGGATTTTTACATTAAGACAGACCATAATCAGGAGGGATCATAGAAATATTTCTACAAATCCCGAATTTGGGACTGATAGATGCAGAGCTGGAGAAAAAAGAAAAGGAACTGGCTGAGGGGGTCAGAGAAAAGCAGAAACTAAACATGAAAATCCAGAAACTGGAAGAAAAAAATTAGGTGTTTACAGAGAGACAAAAAAGCAAAAGGTGATTCGAGAAGGCGTTTCAAGAACAGCGGTAAGGCAAGTAAGACAGCAAAAAAAAGGTGACAAAACAAGTAAAGAATCAGCGACGACACCAAACAAGAGATGGCCACAATCAATGATCTGCAAACACCTAGTTTTGAATTGACAGGAATATGCAGCAGCTGCTCTTTGTGAGTGGGAAAAGATTGAGGCCGAAGATGGTAACATTGGAAGAGGGAATTCCAGTGGAAAAGAGGGAAGACAGAATCCGCATCACTTTTAACAGTGCGTTCTTTTTGCAATTTTCTTGGGCCAGACTGCTGAGAGCAATCTGGAATGGTTGAGGAGTTTAAGGCTGTAGTTGAGAAATCCCATCTAGAAGCACACAGAGGCAACAGATTTAACATTCTGTTTTCAAACTCGGCTGCAGTTTTTCATCACAGAGACCACTTTTATCAACTTTGCTCATCATTGGACCTATCGAGAGAAGCTAACATGTTTGTCAAGTCCCTGAAAGCTGACCAAGATGACGATATTATTCCAGCAGGTATGAGGGCCATGGGCATGTTTTTTTCAACATGTATCAACTCCCATGATGAAAATGATTGAGAGCAGCATACATATGGATACAGATAGATTTCATACACGTTTAAATGACAAAGTTGAAGAGTGGATGATAGATCCAAGTCCTATTCTTTACTTTTCCCAGAATTTCCACCAGCTAAAAATGACGTCCACAAGTCTCTCTATGCAGTAACAACAGAGTCCATCGAAAATCTCACAAAGCAAGCCCCCTCATATTTCACAACTTCATGGTGTGCATCTCTCGTCAACTTGCCGATCATCTTCCTGGCGGTCGATTTCATAATGCCTCTGATGAAATTCGACAGCAAACGACATCCTGCCCTAAAGATGACATATCGACAGAGAGGATTTTTGCAGGGCTGGATTATCTGCGTCGGAAAATGCCCAACGCAAATACAGTTGCTTTCGAGGGGATACTCTTGTGGAGCCTCAACAAAACTAGATCATGCTTGGATGGCATGGATCACAATCGTCGGGCAAAATATCTAAATGATGCAAGAAAACAAAGAAAGTCATTCCTCCAACTATCAGCGAAAAAGCAAGTTGATCAAAGACAGAATAGCACAGAAACTTCAAATCAACAAAGATAAAAAAATAACAAAGCAACTAGCTCATACAAAGCAGGCAACAGAAAACACAACACATGCAGTCAAATTATGTGGGATGATTATGCACAACTGTAGAGGATGTTGATTCTCTAAAACTAAATTCATGTACACAATTCATGTACATTCCCTTCTCTGATAGCATTGTATAAGAAGTTATAGCAATTACACATATATAACGAGGTATTTTGTTGCCAAAATGTTTACCAATCAGGCCCATTTCCATATTGTTGTCTGATATAATGTAAATTTTATTTTGGAACAAACGTCCATATAGAAACATTATTTGAACAAAATTTCATCCTTCTTGGTCATTCTGTTAAGGATTTACAGTGAAAACGCACATTTAATTAGGCATTTTGGGTTTAAAAAATACAACTGAATGACGCTAATTTACATAAATCAGTCTAAAATTATTTACATATTTATCAGGAATAAAGGTCTATACTGGAACATTATGTGTTTAAAGTTTCATGCTTGTATGTAATTGCACTAAGATTTTATATTACTTTGCATACTAATTTAGCTGTACTTGGTCTTTTTTCACCTTCTTTTGCTTTCTCATTGCAGAAATCTGAAGAAATCGCAATATTTGTCAAATCCATGTGGAAAAATGGAAAACCTTAGCAACCCAATTTGTTTCTCATTATCTATGTCTTTACCACTAAAGAATTTACTTAACATAGTAATTCATGCTGTTTTTTTAAGGGAAAACTGGAAAATGTGTGTTTATTGGCTTTTTCAAGAAAATGGCTTAATACGCCATGCTAATTGGATATATTTTTTGACGATAACTCGAGAACCCAGTGTCGCTTTTAAATTTTTTTTACTTCTCTGTTTCTCTCATCAAGCTCTTTCATATAATGTATAATTCACTGTTGAAGCTATTTGTTTAAAAATGGTGTGACCTGCCTACTGATATATCAGTTCCAATGTGGTAATCAACACAGGGCCTTAATTTTTGGCTTGAGCTTCTGGTTGGCCTCCTCCAGTCGCCCCTTGGCATTTCCCTATAGGAAGGCAATAAGTTGATCATTTACCCTCCGTAGGTTCTCAGGTTTGTCGCACTTTGTCTTGTAGTGGCCGTCTTCACCACATCGGTAACAGACTCTTGAACGTGCATCATGTTGTCTACGCTTGACTGGTTTCTTGGCAGCTTGCACCTGACTCCTGGCCTGCTTAGGGTTTGCCTCGACAACACTCACATCCCCTTCTCCTCTTCAGCTCATCTTAGCCTGCTGTTCTGCTTCCTCTCTCCTCACCAACTGAAGCAATGTCAGGTAGGTAGGAGGGCTCTTCTTCAGATCTTTCAACCTAAAATTCACCAACAAAATTTCGTTGATAAGCACTCCCTTTATAAAGTGCTCAATTAGAAGTGAGTCTGACTTTTCCTTTTGAGCCGCACCCTTTCGTTCCAACTTCCTCAATATACACCTGGAGTCTAGTGAGATGCTCTGAAGGGACTCACCACGACATTGATGTGTAGAGTGAAACAAAAGGCTCAGCTCCTGAGGTGACTCTGTACTTCCGAATGCTAGCTCCAGAAAAGCAAGGTATTCCGAAGCTTGAGGGTGCTCTCAACGAGGTCAGTGATGATACTGGCAGCAGGGGGGCGGAGAACCTCTCAAATGTCATCTCTTCTCAGAATCCTCAGATTCCTCTTCCAGTTGCCCCTGAACAAGTTCAATCCATGTGTCAAAGCTGTCCTCGTCCTTGGCAGGAGTCTTAAGAGCGGAGAAAGGACGTAGCTTCCGCCCACTATTACTGCACACAAAGACATGGCTTTGCTCAAGGAACTCTTGGAAGGCTCTCCTTTCTGGGGTTTGGATGCACCTTGCTCCTCCACAATGTCCTTCACTAAGACCCGACTCTTAAAGTTCCCAGTGGGGTTCAAAAGGTATATTCGCAGCACCACTTCCTTGCCATCAATAGGGACAGTAATATCTCCTGAAACAGGGAGGGTCGCTTCACCAACCTCACAATGAAACTCACATAGAAGATTCGTTGTTTCTCGCCACTCCTAACAGGAGACATCGACTAGGCGGTTAACCTTCTTTAATTGGGCCTCGAGTAATTGACTCTTTCAAAAAAGACAACGGTTCTTCACTGGAAAGAGGAAGTGCACAACCCAGAACGAAACTGCAAAATGTCACCACTGTCCGCCATGTTTTACACAAAATTTCAAATTAAAAAAAAATGCACTCTGCTAAGACCCAGCACAAGAAAATACCAATTCTCAGCCTATGGCTCTCAAAATGACCCTACTATTGTGTACATGTATCTATTTGGCACCAGAATAAAATGTGTCCCCCGTTGTTTATTGCCGAGAGAAACGGAGCTGGCCCCCCCAAAAAATTATTATGAGGTCCTGGCAAGGTCGCCTTGAAATGTAAGCCTCGTGGCCCACATGGGAGGGGGATCAACACACGTTGGATCAGACAGATGGATGAACCACACTTACTTTAAAACGCTGAACTGCAAAACTTTAGTCGAAACAATCTTGTACAGGGAAAATCACCATCAAAATCTGGAACATCAATGAGGACAGCAAAAAACTTTAAAGGTTCCCTGTTATTCAAGACCATTATAGTGTTTAATAAACCTGTACTAAATATAAAAAAGAATACAACGCTTTCTCATTTGTTTCTATCGGTTCTGCTGATTTTGACATTGTTTTTGCGCATTTTCACGCCCCCACTTTTGACCACCGTAAATGGTGAATAAATGGTCACGTGGTCTATGACGTCCCGTAAAGAACCCGATCATGTAACGCTGGGACCACTGACCTCGCGACCGTGCTGCTTTACATGTGGACCGACCTATGAATCACACAGTATTTCTCACCAAAAACTCTTTAGAATTCGGTTCTGAATAGCTAAAATGCCGACAAGATGTGTTTTTGCAGGATACAATAATACACCAAAGGACAGTGCCTGCAAAGATTTCCTAACACTTAGTGTTGCGGAAAATTTCAACCGCAAAAGTTCGCTTAAGGGCAAACTGGGACGGGCCGTCCGCTACAAGTGTCATCTGTAGTAGGCCTACGTACTTATTTATGCCAACAATCTGACATAGAAAATTCCAATTTTTTATCTTTCACAAATCAAACAATACCGGTATACAGGTAGCCTACACAAAGCTTTAAGGCCTCTTATATTTAAGGATAGGAGTTCTTGATTTCACTTGGTACAATCAAGTCCCAAATCCGTACTTGTGGCGAGACTACATGTAGCTAGCTCAGTTCACTTTCTTTTTGAAGTCTCCACAACAACCACACAGGTTCAAAAGGCCTGGGCCTATTACAGTTTCACAGCAAACAGTCCCGCAACCACAACTCCTGCTTGGAGACTGGAGGAACTTGAAAGTCCAGTGACGGAGTTTCACCTCATGCAAGCAGAACAATTCCTGTCCTCATGAAGAGGAGACAGACAAGTTCACCTGATGTCCAATCACCAAAGACTTGATCCACTCTGCATAAAGCGTAGATCCAGCGGTCCAGCCAAACAGTTCTTGGTTTATGCCCAACTGGTTGCTCTCCTGCAGAGTACAGTTTGAGTTAGCCGTGTTAACTCACAAAACAACAAGGTGATTCTGAGAGTAAGAGAAGAGCCAAAATATGCAATTCAACAAAAGGCTCATGTCTTTGCACAAATAATTTGGTGCGTCAAAGCAGACCTAAAATTAAATAATCCACCTAAACATGTTAAATTCTGGCATTAGTACACTTATTCAAGTTCTACAACTTATCATGACATTGCAATTTGATTATTATACACAGAAAGTGGCATTACTCAAAGGATTATTGGTCAACATATCCATTAACTTTCATGTCTCTGTGTGTGTATGTGATGCATTATAAACTGGGCTCCTGGTTTATAACACATGTATATACATGTACACGCAAATTGCCGTTTTCCCCGAAACATCAAGCAGTAACCCCAGCTCGCTCAAAAGTGTCATAATCATTTCATTATCCTTTACACAGTCTCACCTGAGAGCCACAAGCTTAAGATTTTCAATCAATTGGAGTCAAGAATTGACTTTTACCGGGAATCTTGCTTCTTGTCTGGGGAAATTTAGCCAAACATGTGCGAAAACATGGCGCTCTCCATGGTGATTCCTGCAGGCGTGTTTCATCATCCTTGAGGGCGCACTTCAGCGTACCGCATGGGCTACACATATTCTTCAATTTCTTTTCAATTTTCCATGGGTTCACTGATTAAATTTTTAGTTGTTCCTACAAATCGAAATTACCTCCACTTGCAGCCATTTTTGAAGTGGCAATCCTCAACTTTCTTGGGCACTTAGGACAATTATTCAACCGTATTTTTCGCCATTCTTCTCTCAGATGAAAGCCCAAAGACCCAGGGAGTTGATCCTGGCAACGATTTACACAATCTTACCATTTTGGGAGCCACAAAATCTCCTCTTTCAAAAGATACTGTGGGGGACACATTTAATGCTAATGAGCTGGCCAGAAACTCTCACTTGAATTTAAGACGGCACCCCTAAATACCACCCATTGAAATGAGTGCAAAATCGAACAGAAACAGTGCCGCCTGGTGACTCTCAAGGAGAGGTTGGCTTCTTGCTTCCCTTTGGAAATTTAAGATTACGGCCAGAAGTCCACTTTTCAATTTTACAGGGGTTAGCCACAAGAATTTTTTTTATTCGGCCTTCCTTGAAAACACCCCCAAAATAGGAGTAAAACTATGCACTCAGCTCTCAATGTAGCCAACCACCTCTAGGCAAAACAATCTTGTGATCAAAATACGCCGGGTTGGACGCCAGAATTCCCAAATTCATGATTATATTGATAGGAAAATATCTCTATGATCACTCTAGATAATGGAACCTCTTATTGTAAAAATCCCAATGGGATCACAAAATACAAACTCGCACATAGAAATCTACACATTTAGTGGAATGCGCCCTTCAATGTATGCAATCCAATTTGCCGCTGTGACGGCGCCCTCTAATAAACCAATGCATCTATCAAGTTGCGTTATATAGCATCTGCTATACTTTTTTAAATATAACTTAAGTTTCCCAAGGTAGAAACACCATGACATACCTGGAACATTTTTCAAAGATGTTTTGAAATTACCTATGTATGGAAATGTTAACGAATGTCCAATAAAGAAAGTCCATGACCTTTGGATTCTGTAGTGAGTTCTTTGGATTGTATGGTGAATTCATATTGCAAGCAGTGTTCAAATTCTCCCCCCACCCAGAGTGGGATGAGTCTACTACTGCATACCTACCAAATTAACAATACATATGCATTATGTCCTAGTTCATTACTTCCATTCGCTAAATTCTCAATCACCAGCAGTGCGCCCTCACTCGACTCCCGCGAAAGCAGCCGCCATGTTCTTCCTCTTTTTCAATGCGCAAAGTGCACCAAGGCCGCGAGGGGAGGCGGGAGGGAGATTGGTAATCTGGTAAGTATGCAGTAGTAGACTCAACCCACTCTAGGTGGGGGGAGAGTCTACTGCCTACAACCTACACAGATTACCAATACATATGCAGAGTAGCACCGAACCAGAGGATAGCGGGAAGGCGAGAGCGCACTGAATGATGTCTGAAATCGGAATGCCTTTAAAATAAGCCCAGGAGGAGTAGACGGCCTGAACATCAGCACGTATGTGGCATCAGCACTAATCATCAGTAGTGGGCCAGTCTGCATTAGCAAACTTGATAGCCGAAACCACCCAACTGGCAATAGTGTCTATGGAGGCTGGAAGGTGAGGCTTACTAGATGTAATGAGTAATTGAGTTACTTGTCCTCGGATGTCCTTAGTCCGGTGGAGATACCATTTGAGTGTCAGAACAGGACACCAGAGTTTATCAGAGGCAGATGAGGCAAACGACCGGATGGATGGGATGAAGATGTCCAGTGGGTGAAATGGGGGTGTTTGGTTATTGGTAAGAAAGCCAAGAGGCTTCCATCGAATATGGCCATCAGCAATGGACAGCGCTTTCATTTCACAGCCTCGAAAAGCAGTGCCAACGGCTAGAAGGAAGGCCAGCTTAATACCTAAATGAATAAGGCTAGCTTATCAAGCAGGTTTGAAAGGGGGGCTAGCCAGAAGTCGAAGGACATCCCCCAGATTCCAGGAAGGAAGGAGTCATCGGTTTGGGGGACGTTCAATAAACATGCCTAGAAGATGATGGATCGCAGTGTTGTTAGAGATAGAGGATCCATCAGGAATCCCACCGTGGATAGCTGCCAGAGCCGAATGGTAGTTCCTGCTTGTTGAGACGAGGAGGCCAGACCAGAAGAGATGCAAGAAGAACTCTGTTATGAGGGAAAGAGTTGCTTCACCAGGAGTTGAAATGTCGCATGCAGTTGTCATAGATCTTTCTTGTTGATGGCCGTCTACCTCTGGTAGGCAGGGCAGCAGCGTCTTGAGAAAGCCCTGCCTGCTGGAATGATCGTTGGACAATATCCAACACGTTCAAAGCAGGTGAAGAGGATCCAGATGGAGATGGTGAGACTTGCGTTGGAAAAGCAGGTCGTGGTGCTGAGGCAGCAACAGGGGAATGTCAACCAACAGCCTCACAACGAGGGGAAACCATGGTTGCCTCGGCTAGTATGGAGCGATGAGAAGAATTCGGCAAGGTTCTTTCTCCATCTTTGATAGCACCCTTGGGATCAGCGAAATGGGGGGAAAAGGCATAAGCTAGGAGACCTTCCCAAGAGATGCACATAGCATCAGTCACCCAGGCTTGAGGATGTGGAAATCAAGTGCAAAATGTTAGGAGTTTGACATTCAGATGAGAGGCAAAAAGGTCCACGTGCGGCCTGTCAGTTGCTCGGAATAGGGCATGGACCACCCCTGGTTGAAGAGCCCATTCTGTTGGGCATACCTTGCCCCAGGAGAGAGCACTGGCCAGATCGTTCTGTACAAGTACCAGGACGAAATGACAAATGGACCACTGAATTAGATCCCAAGCCAGTAGGCAAAGGGTAGTGTT